GTCCTAGGGGCTGTAATTCCAAACATAACAATCTTTGACCAAATTGATGAACAAGAGGAATGAGAAAGAACTTATCCAAAAAGAATAAAAAGGACAAACAATCCCCTTGTTGAGCATCCCACGCTCTTTCACAGTATAGTCAGAGCCATGATCCCATCTCTAGGGGTGAGTGAATTGGAAAAAGCAATTGTTAACATCTCAACTGTTATTGAAAACATTCAAGATCAGGTTTCAGATGCAATTTCAACTTTACAAGAGGAGGTCCATAGTCTGTCTTGTGTAGTACTACAAAACCGACTAGCTCTAAACATCTTGCTAGCCTCTCAGGGAGGCGTGTGTAGTCATTAACACCAGTTGCTGTTCTTACATAGACCAAAGTGGAAGAATTAATAACGATTTAGCTGCAATTTGGAACCAAACTAAAATTCTACATCAGATATCTCTGGATAATGTCTCACTGGGTTTGGGAGACGTTCTCCACAAACTTACTTCATGGTTACCGAACTGGACCTGGGTAAAACAACTGTTTCTATTGGTAATGTACATAGTTAGTGTTTCTGTAATAGCTCATTGCATGAACCAATGTTGTAGATGTTGGTCATCTCCTTTGAAAAGGATTAGATGTAAGTAGTAGAGATTGGACAAAATTTTTGAGTTTTGTCCAGTCTCTAAAGGGGGGACTGATACCTTGGAGTTTTGATTTTTTAATTTTTCTGGATCTTAGAAGTAGTTATGTAGTAAATGTAGATTTTAGAGTAGCAATACATTGTCCCTTTACCCTTTAACACACCAACCACACATAGCAAACCCTGTTACCCATTCCCATATCAATTCCCTAAATTCCATAGCCTGTTTAGTCTCTTTTTCAAGGTAGAATTATAGAGAACACCCTAAAATCTACGCAAGAAGATATAGCCATAGATGCAACAACCTTCAGGCTAGAACTCTGGAAGGCCTCCAAGAACAGTACATGCTCTGAGGAATATGAAGATGAAGAAGAGGGGGTCCCAAAACACCCCCAGACCCAATTCCCAAGAGGTGTGGCGGGGGCAGAACCTGGGCGGTGGCTGGATGGGGATTGGGTGAAAATCATTATAAAAACTGAAAACACCTGTATTGGAGAGCGCGCATTGGGAGTATTCCGGAAAGCCTGGGGGCTCATTAAAGCCTTTGTATCCTTATCTTATCTCCTACCTAATTTGGCTTGGAGTCTTTTTTCCCCACAACCATTTAGGCAACATTCGACACATTGCTTCACTGATTCATTTGGTATTTCACAGGAAAAGAATACCTTTGTCTTAAGACCCATGCTTTGCATGTCACAATGCCTGCAAGCATGATACCAAATAGTAAACACACTGTCAAGTGCTCCAATACTTAATTTTGCCAAAGCTTATAGATATATAGACATAGCTTGCAAAATATTGCTGATTATTTTCTTAGATACTCCTGATGAGAAAATAATGCATAACAGAAGTATATACAGTGTACAGACGTAGTATGTCCAGTAGTTAAGGTTTATGGCAACAAACTTTTAGGTCCAAACATTGCTTTCTGAGACCAGGTGAAACTTCCACTGATGACAGTCAAAATTATATACATAGAAAGCTAGAGTACATGGCTCTTACTACTTAACAATAAATACGTACATACATGCTTAAAACACAAGCATGCAGAATATGTACAATGTTTGGTGCATACCAATATACAACACTAAAACCATATCATTTTTTTCTTGTACTATAGCAATAAATGTATTTACAACAGCAAACAACAAATGACTATTAACAACTTTATGCTCTGGGGAACAATCATAAGGTTTTACAAAATGTTCAGTAGTAACGGAATACAGAAGAATTTCAAAAATACAGGAGATGAAAACCAAATTCAGTGGAAGACTGAATTTGCTCCAAAGTACATTAAAACATTACAACCAACTTGTGCTATTCTATGTCTTTGTAATGCATGTCAGTGCGTATGCTAGAGTCCTCACTTTTTAGAATTACAATAATAAGAGGTACTTGGCTTAATTTTTATAATACATTAGAATAGGACAATGATGTTCAATGCAGCACCTAAAAGTGGTATTTTAATGTTTAATCATGAGGAGGTTCTGTTTTTTAACTAATAATTTAAAAAAATCTTACCATGCAAAAAGTTTTCCAGAAATTACTTTCAATATTTTAAACTCTTTGATCCCATGAGAAGTAAAAACATATCATTAATACACAAGAAAGGTGCACACAGCATAACGTGTCACACAGTAACAGTAACCAACACAGTTAAGATGTAAATATTTCACTTTGCAAGGAAGCACTCTAATTTCTTCAAGTTAAGGAGGAAAAAAAAAATCCTCTATTCTGACCCAGAATTTTTTATTTATATTTGCTACATGTGTGCATTTGTATGTACATCTAATTTTTAAACAAGAAAAAAAAAGTGGCATAGATATGCTCATTTTTCCTTAAAACCTTTTTATTTAATACCTTTTACTTTGCACTTGCAACAAGTTCAAAGAGTATATGTGGTCAGTTAACATAGTTCAGCTTAAGCCATGTTATCTCCTTATGTTCAAAAGCCTTTAATCCACTTAAGCTTTTAAGTCCAACAACACTTTCCAAAGTGGGACTGAGAAGTTGGCACTTTTGAAAAATGTTTACCTAACATTTACATAAAATACAGTTAAGCAATACTACTATTTTAAGTTTTGAGGGACAAAGATATGTAATGGGACAGTAAAGGTCAAGTCAATTAAAAAAATGGATGGCAAGCATGTTCCCAGTTTCACCATTTTAATTATTATTATACTATTTTTAAAATGGTTTTGTCCATCTCAACCATATGAATTACTCAAACAAATAACACAAGGTTAAGAACTGAACAAATTACTATGTTGGGGAAGCAGTGAGAGTGACTGAAAGTACTGTCAGATACTTAAAAGAAAACCACCAATTAAAACTAATTTTTAGAAAGGTTGGGGGTTTTTTTAATAAATTGAAACTTGAATCTCTATCCAACCCCGTGACTTCAATGGTTTACTGCTATACTGCATTTTACAATATTAACTGTTAAACAGTTGCATGTGCACAAACACTTTCAATCAAATATGTGACTGTGGCTGACAACAGAACACAAAAAATGTGTACATAGTAACAATTTCTATACTGATTTCTACTCAAATACAAATATGCTATTAAGTATGAAACAGAACATTTACCTCGCTTCTGTGTACATCATGCTTACATGTTCAGAAGCATGGTTTATACAGATATTGATATATGCAGAAAACATTCATACAGGCAATCACTGCATCTTCTTCAAAGCTAAGTGATGGTTTCTTATCTATTTACCCTGAAAACACTTTATTTCATTTGGTCTAAAAGTAATGCCACAATTAGGCCCTCATCTACCATTACCTATCTGTACACTTACCATTACCAGTGGGTGGATCTTATAAAACAATACAAGATCTGCACTATTGATTGTGGAACCAAATCTCTGAATTCCTTCTTTGGGTGGTATATGTTGTTACCATTCAGTAAGTTTCATGAATTTTTAAAAACTTGGGAGAAACCTCTAGCATTGCTGCAAGAAGACCATGAAATGCAGCAGCGGTTTGGACCTGAGTAACAAGTCAAACATCAACTACCTCTCCTGTAGTAAATTCATATAGTTAAGTACTTAAACATCCATAAAATTCAAAAAAGGTAAGCTATCTGTCCTCTATTTTATCTTGGGTTTGCATCATGAAACAGCCACAGCACACACTTCGATCAACCAAAGATTACACCAAAATGAGACAATGTTATTACTGATAGCATCTCTACCCCTCCTTTTTCCACATCAGTTAAGGATCCCAATACCTTTCTCCATATACAAAAGACCAACTGTATTATTTAAAGTAGGAAATAACACATTCATAATCAAGCATTAAAATAAATTCTGACTTCCTTTCAAATCTCCTTAACTTACTGAAAAGGCAGTTTATTACCCCAATATAAATCATTACTTTCATATACATAACCCAAGACAAAAGTCTTTGGCATAAACATCCAACATCCATTTGGAACATTCCCATTCATCCAAACACTGGTGCAGGCATATTTCAAGGCCTGCTAGTTTATGGCACAAGCTGTATTACCACAACAACTACACAGTGTAGTAGATCACATCAGACGCAGACAAATGTGGTTTAATTCAAAAAGCTTATTTTAACACAAGCCAAATTCCTATTAAACAAGCATTGCCTTTGCACACTTGTGGCTCCAAAATAACAACCCGTTTTAATAAAAGATAAATGATACAATAGATTTTATTTCCTGAACAGCGGGTGGATTCCAAAGGTATTAAAGATCCTGCGATCCACCAGTATGCTTAAGGTTATTCTTCAGCTTCATGGGTGCATCTGGGTCTTTATGGTTTCTTTCTCATTTTGCTTTAAAAGTCAGTCTACAATTTCGGCATAAGCCCCTTATCCCATTTTATCTCATTAAATAAAACTCACAATTTAAAAAATGAAACCGGTGACCCAACAACCTAAGACACACAGAACAATGCAGATATTAAAAGCCTGTAACCATTAATCTGCAAAGAAACTCCCCTGCAAATTCTTTCATTAATCTGCTTCCTTATCACCACATCCATCATCGCTGATATTCCCCCCAAACCCCCTCTACTGACCAGCCATCCTTTCACTCTCCATTTTGGAAGACGGGGTTCCCAACCATATCAAACCCACCCATAGGAACCACGGTTATTTACCCAGTTAAAAGCACCTCGGCGAAGCCTGCACATGAGCGTGCACACACAACACGGTGGTGGAGGAACGACGAGCGGGTCACGGCCACCCCGCGAAGGTGGCAGGCGCCCGGGAGAAACCGAACCGACCACGCCGTGTAATGCACCAGTGGGGCCAGCCGGACAGAGTCCGGGGCGGCGATGTCTGGGCTGCACCCCCAGTGGTGCTTAAGGCGTGTGTGCTGACTGCGGCCCGCACTCACCCAACAGCAGCAGCTTCAGTTCCCGTCGGGCGTCCCGCTTGTCCCGGCGCAGCTGCCGCTCGATCTCGTCGTTGATCCGCCGGGCTTCCTTGGCTTCCTCGCTCAGGCAGCACGCCATGATGGACTCCAAAGTCATTCTTCCTAACTGTTTCAACCCCCACCCTAAAAGCGCGTTCACACACACCCCACCAGAGCACCAGCCCCGGGGGACACAGACGCTCTCTGCCCGGAAGCCCCACCTGGGCACTGCAGGACAAGGGCAGGGAGCTGCCTCGATGACAAACACGGACAAGGAGAAAGAGTGGGCCCCCGGCAGCACAGATTCTCCCGTTCCCTGCCTCAAATAGTCGCCGCTTCCAACTCCTC